ATGTTAGAAGCAATAACAACAGTGACGCGAAAAAGAAGGTACCAATAATAACAAAAACACTCACCTCTTTCAAAACTGCAAGCTTTCGTAAGATTCTGAATTTCCCCCTGTGACAGAGCTTTGTTGTAAATCCTGAACTCGTCCACCTCCCCCTGGAGAAATCTTTCATCCTTGTGTTTCCCTATTCCCGCATGCGCATCCCAGTCTTGAGACAAAAGACCATTCCCAGCACCCTCTGCCTTCAGTTGACCATTAACGAAAATCTTAGCGAGACCAGAGTGTACGTCGTAAGTTCCAACAAAGTGGTTCCAAACATTTGCGGGAATTATTGGATCTGTAGAAAAGTTAAAGGAAACATTTATTTAGCAGCTTCCGAATTATCAACTTTGAAGTGATAAATGTATACTATTTTGTTTGGCTTTCTGAGTTTGGTTCTGGATTAAGAAGTCTGATTTCGAGATCTGGCAGCCGGGTTCTTCTGCTGTGTTCTGGAGTGAAATACTTTGCTGATACAATGCCTCTCTCTATCTCGTCCGCTGTTGAACAAAAGCCGATGAATACTATCACAGTTTGATATTGGTCCACTTAAAGTAAAAAACAAAGAAGCTTAGGGCAAAACAATCAACAGCATCCACACATTAACAAAGAAAGCAATAAAACTTTTCTATAGTCACGAGCACAGGCCGGCAAAGTGGCGGGATAATTAGATTTCTTGAGCTCTTGTGCGTAAAACATAACCTTTCACAAAATTGCTTTTTTTTAAGACGCTTACCGCAAGAGGTTTGACAACAAATTAAACATTCCGGCAGGTTGTGGATTGTGATGCAACCCAAACCAAACCCCCAAACTATCAAAAATAACTTTGCAAAGTTTTGTGTGGCATACGAGAGTCTTAATGCAAAAATCCAAGTTTGGAGTCACATTACACTGAGCCTGCCCAGCATACCTTTTTATTTTCTTATTTTTTTTTTTATCTTTTATTTTGTGTGTGTGTGTGTGTGCTCCATACACGTACCTGTCTCGACACTGAAGATTTCATCGCCCGATTCATTCCTGTGAAACCACCTAACACTGCCATCTTGTACTTCGAAATGGTATTGCCCGTTTTTATGGACAGAATGGCCACCAACCGTGTCAAATATCGAGTGATAACCCTTGTTGGTATCCAGCTTGATCCACGCTGCTACGCTTACGGCCTGGCGCGGTCTTTCCTGATGACAGATGCGAAAAATAAAAATCAAGAGAAAGATACACTGTCTCATCGCTAGGGATACCTCATTCACGTGGAGGTGGTAGGCGAGGCAATTGCATTGTCAGAGAATTCTTGGTTGCCTCTTCTCAGGGTAGTACAAAAACCACCAGGCTTGGCGGGAATTTAAATTATCTTCTACGACATTGCTTTAGTTTGTATTCGAATCGTGAATTATGGATGCGATTTGCGTGAATTTAGAGAGCGTTACTACGCCTTGAATTGCCTAGATCAAACCTTTTCATCACGTGAGCAAGTGTGCCAGTAAAAAGAAGCAAGTGTCCCTTCTCTAAAAGATGCCCCCTCCCTCTGCTGACGAATAAGCGTGCCCTCCCTCCCTTCCATTTACAGCTAATCCATAGATGCACTTTACCTTTAACTGGTTTGCGTTCAGTAGTATTTCGCTGCCACTGTTTAGCCTTGCAGCTTTTCCACACGATCCAAAAGATCTTGTAATCTCTGTCCGCTTGTCCGTGTCAGTAACATCTCCCTTCCAAGACGCGTACGCTGCCCTACCGTTTTGCACATCCTCGAAATTCAAGTACATGAGTAGCCCTTGAGAAACACGTGACCTCCGCAACGCGTCGCCATCAACGCTCGCGTGATCGCTCACGTGATTGTTTGCGTTCAATGCCGGCAAAAATGGCGACCACGGCGGATTCATCCTTGCTCTTTCTTGAGGGAAAAACTCGGGGTTATTAGGTCCCATTTGAGAATACAAGGGTGCTTTTTTTGGGCTACCACCCGTAAACGGCATCTGAGACTTGAGAAACTGAGGCTGGTAATCATATTGATGTTTATAACCGTAAAATGCACGCTGAACAGCAGGAATATACTTCTTTTTGCTTTGATCGTCGGCTTTGAGCAATCTGCTTCTCTGGGGCTGTCCATTCACGATTTGAAATTTGACTGGCTGTTGAATATTCGTCTGTTCAATCACCGCTCCGTTTTGAAACCTTGTGTTCCAGGCTGGTCGAATCTCCGGACTAGCCATGGCAGAACGATAGGGTAGAGCTACAAATTGAGCTGGCTCTTTGTTTGCAAACTGATTTTTCTTTGTTTCAATATTCCCAGGCGATAAGGGTGCGGAGGGCGGTGTATTGACGTTATAAACACCTTGTCGCCGGCTGTTTAGAGCTGTGTATTCCTCCGGATTGGTAGATAAGCCGTATGGATTCATTGACAGAGAAGACGCCCGCCCCCCGAATACCAAAGGGTCGTATTTAGCTTGAGATTTAGCATTATTATTTGTAATAAGAGCCGTGTTGAGGGGATTTCTTCTTAAACCTGGTCGTTTCCAAGCCATACTTCTCGGGTAGCTTCCTCTTGCAAACTCATTCAGAGGAAATATGACTGGATTCGATCGAGGCACCCTTTGCGTCTTAGAATGCCCGCGGAGGGCTCGACGGCGTTTTTTTCGTTTGAGTTTCTTACGGGCCTTGGACGGCTTCTCATCATCATTATCGTCTTCAAGAAGAGACTTGCGTTTAAATCTCAACAAAACTCTCTCACTTCCGTGAAAAAGCGGATATCTCTTGTTGGCCAGAAACGGCGGTTCTTGTTGCAAAGATCTTCGTCTCTTCGTGAAGTGTTTTCCGTTCAATTTACCCTCAACGCCTACAACGGAATTGCGTCTTTGAAGGTTTGCCTTTCTGTGATGATGACGGTAATGTGTACGATGATGATGAAGATGACCACTATGAATTGGCGAAGAATATTTTCTTTTTTTCTTCCTTCTCGATTTAATGTAAGTTTTAATAGTATCACTAGGGTTCTTCCGTTCATAGCGCTGATGCCTTGGAAGCCCTAATTTATTTGATAAAAGTTTCAACTCCTTCTGTGTAATGCCACTTCGACCTCTCTTTGTTTTTCGCGGTTTTGGATGACTACCAGGAGAAGTTAGTGACGTAGTTCGAGGATGTTTGGAATAATTCTTAGCACGCGTTACGTTATTCAAGTGCGTGACATAATCAGAGGAATGCGTGACGTTTTCAGTCAAGTCTGTTTTCTTGGAATCTTCGTCGGAAGAGGAATGGTGGCGACCGAGATGAAGTCTTTGTCTCTCCAAAGATGAGTGTGTCTTGGAAGTTCGCAATCCATCTTTTCCAGGAATTGTCGAGGTAAAAGCTGATGAGTCTAATGATTGATTGTGAAGTGCACGTGGAGAACCTGTAA